GGGAGCGGAGTGGGCGTGGCTTGTCTCTTAAAGGGACCAAAACCATAACAAGCACTATATTGAGAGGTTCTGGAAACTTTATTTGGCGAAGCCAGGTTGAAGGAAATATGTCACTGAGGGCATATTTTGAAGGTTATAGTTAGTCCCCTGAGATTTCCTTTCTTTCTGCTTCCCCTTCGTCATGAGGACAACCTTTGCCACATGCTCCTGTGGTCATGATGGACTGTCACGTTCCAGACCCAGAAACAAAGAGCCAATTGAACACGGACTGAACCCCCTAATACTGTCCACCCCCCCCCCCACTTAAGTTGTTTGTGTCAGATATCTTATAGACTCATTGAAAAAAGTAACTAGCCCAGAATCATAATTCAGTAAACTCATCCATTTACTTAAGCCAGCTCAATGAGTTTGGGCTTCTGGAGAAATCTATACCATCACAAAAAGGAAGGAGTATTCCTATATGCCCAGGAGACGTCTTGCATTCCATCATTTCGTGTCTGTATTTCTTCTTTACACTGAAACCCATGTGACTCACTGGGTCACCCTCTGCCTTACCTTCTGTTGATCAATATACAACAAAGGCAAATAACTTGATCACCAAGAACTTGTAAGCATTTGTCCAAGTCTCCGAACACAAATCTTAATTTTTCTAGCACAAATAGAAAACCCTTAAAAAAGGATTTTGATTTGGGAAAGTATTCATTCTAGACCAACTGACAGTGGCCATGATAGGACACATGACAACTACACACATGACAGCAAACTGAGCATTTCAAAGTTGGGTTTCCTTTTTGTTTTGTTTTGTGGCCAGATCTTGCTAGGTGATCAAAGCTGGCCTACAACTTTGGATCAATCCTCCTATATCAATGTCCTATCTTCTAACCATTCTACAACTACCCATTTATATAAAACCTCTACTCCATATTTAACTACTTAGTATTTCAGAAACACCTCAAATGATCATGGCTCCATGCATTTCCCATTCTGCTCCCTTTGACTCTAATGAATCACTACCCTCTCAAACTTCTCATCCTTCAAAGACTCAGCTAAAAGTCCATTCTTGTTTTTATCCTAGTGGTGTAGGAGGTCCTTCTGTCTTTGTGTTGCTTTCATTGGTTAATAAAGAAATTTCATTGGGTCCTTGATAGGGCAGGACTTAGGTAGGTGGGGGAAATTAAACTGAATGCTGGGAGAAAGAAAGCAGAGTCAGAGAGAATCACCATGGAGCTGCCAGAGTCAGACATGCTGAATCTTTCCTGGTAAGCCACTGCCACATGGCGATACACAGAGTAATAGAAATGGGTTAAATAAGATGTGAGAGTTAGCCAATAAGAGGCTAGAGCAAATGGGCCAAGCAGTGTTTTAATTAATACAGTTTCTGTGTGGTTATTTCAGGGCTAAGCTAGCCAGGCAGACGGGACAAACACGTAGACCACCCCTGCAACATTCTAGATTGCATTAATTTATAAATATGTTTTATCTTTCCCACAAGAATTCAGCATCCTACTCAATAGGTTCATCCTTCTTTAGTTCCTAATGTGATGCCTTATGCTCAGGCAGGACTCAGAAAATGATTGATAAAAGAATAATCCATCAGAAATGCTCACTACATATCAACCACCTTCATTAAGTAGCAATGGAGGGGGTGACTTTCTAAGTCCACCTACATTTGCTCTCTGAAACAGGAAGAGCTTACCAAGAAGCAACACAGCATGTCATCGTATGCCAACATGACAGACTCAGTGTTCCCAACATGGTAGAGGGATGGAATAGAACAATTTCAAAAACTGGTTGGTGCAACCAGTGCTCCGAGATAAACTCAACACAAGAACTAGTGTTCCATTCCTATGTTACTGGTCATGTTTGAACCTACCCGGGAATTATAGCAAGATATGCTCTGAAGATCAGCCTGCTCAAGAAACCTAAAGACTGCAATTCCTGGTTTTAGAAGCACCTTCTCCTCTAACTGATGTATAAAGCAGAATTCTGCAGCAGGACTCCTTATATCTTCTAGAAATGGAATCATTCAGGCCCCAAGGTCCATGGTTTCCAGAGATACACTATTGAAGACCTGACAAGGCCACCGGTGCGTATGTATAACCTAGTCATACTAGAGACAATATACAGAAGACATGCAAAAGCCAAATACGTTCTTTCCTAGGTCGTACACTATATTTGATAGGTAATAATTTTAACGCTAACTCCTAAGATCATAAGATGGCCAAAGAAACAGTAGGAAGATAGCAATTGTTTACAGCAGATTAATTATGTATCAAGTTCTTTTTGAAAGGACTTACTTGATAATTACCATAACCTTCTCTCCTTTTTTATACTGAAATAAATGGCAGAGCCAGGACTAAACACAAATCTAGCTAGCTGAACCTTAAATATGTATCTTTTCCACAAAACCACACTGTTTCTTAGCTATTTTGCTCTGATAAGCATCCTTTTAAAATTCAAAAAACCAAGTGCAATATGGCTACCGAGATTGGGCTACAAAACAGAAAGTACTAGTAAGATAAATGAACTCCAAATAATGAAATATAAAATTAATTTATGTTATATAATATGCAAATGTTAGTTTCTCACACAAATGTATCCCTAGAAGGTGTCAGTATTAAGGGCAAGTATGTGAAGGCTAAGTAGGAATGCTCTTTTTACTATTTTTGTGACTTCGCAGTAAATCAAAATTAGTCCAAAATAAAAAGTATATATAAGTGCAAGAAAGTTTGTTTTTTTTTAAAAAAAAAAGTTTTGAAACCCAGATATTATCCTGAACATGATAGTTACCTACCAAAGATGTCAATTCTGCTTTCATCACATTAGAATAGTGGTTCTGAAAAAAAGAGAGAAAGAGAAAGAAAGAAAGAAAGAAAGAAAGGAAGGAAGGAAGAAAGAAAGAGAGAAAGAAAGAAGAAAGAAAGGAAGGGAGAGAGAGAGAAAGAAAGAGAGAAAGAAAGAAGAAAGAAAGGAAGGGAGAGAGAGAGAGAGAGAAAGAAAGAGAGAGAAAGCTGGTGAGATGGCTGAAATGGTAAAGGCGCTTGCCAATGCCTGACCACCTGAGTTCAGACCCCAGAATCCATAAGGTGGAAGAAGAAAATCAGAGAACCAACTCCCAAAATTTGTCCTCTGACCTCCACACATGTGTCATGGCTGGCATGTGCATGCACACAGACAAGCATGCATACATACATACATACACACAAATAAACACACACACACAAATAAATACTTAAGGAGAAAAATTAGGTTCTATATCAAATATCTTGGCTGACCAACAATAAAATGCAGCCTGGTAGCAAAACATGAAAACCTCGCCAAACTGATATGACAGCAGGTGACCCAAACAGCTGCCTTACAATATGCTGAAGCAGGCAGATATCACCAACTGGGAAGCAGAAATGATACAAGGCCCGCCCGAAGTAGAGGTTAGGGGGAAGGCATTTGAGAAGCAGTAACCACAGGCAAATCCAAATGACCCACAGTAGCCACAGAGATAGAGACAGGCTCGTCCCTTCCTGAGTTAAAATCTCATGAAAACCCTGAAGGAAAGACACATTCCACCCCATACTTCAACCTCAAATCCTGAGACCAGTCTTCCTTTTGTCTGTGTATGGCAAGGGCTGTTGATCCTGTACTGACCTCCAAGATGCCTACATAGAGAGATGGTGTTCTTCCCAGACCTGTCACCTCCAATGAGAAACTACTTATCCATCCTAGCACCACATTGGTTGAGGGAAGACCTACTGGTGCACATATTTGAAGTGTTTCTACTAGTGTTTGAAGACATTATAACTTAAAGCTTAGTTCTCTTTTACACTACTCAACCAGGATAAACTTCCAGTTTCATTTTCTTTATGATTATTTGTATCAGGTTCATCTCAGTTAGGGTTTCCAGACCTTCTGGTAACATCTTTTTCTTTCTTTCTTTTTCTTTTTTTCTTCTTTCTTTCTTTCTTTCTTTCTTTCTTTCTTTCTTTCTTTCTTTCTTTCTATGTTTCTTGCTTTTGTGATCTCAGTGAGCTACACACACTGCTTATTTCAAGGTTTTGGAGCAGTTCTCCCCCTCCGGAAGTTTTATTACTATCAGTGCTTCACTCTGAGAACATTCCTTAGTAGTGTTCTTGACACTTCTGAATAAAGACATCCCAAAGTAGGGTAGGAGAGGTGTGAGCTGCTGGGAAACTTTCGGAATTAGTCTCTGAAGTTTTGTCATCTGCGTCCTGAGGGTGGTCTCTTTGTTAAAAATTTAGCTGTCCAGACAGTAAGGGCACACGATCAATATTCCCTTGGGAGTCACAGGGTCTTTCTTTGAAAGAGCTGTCCAGTTTTCAGGCGACACTAGGTGACTGCCCATTCAAAAGCAGGGCCAGAAAAGAATGTCGGTGTTTTCCGGCAGGTATAGGTGCCTGGGGGTCAGGGAGAGAGGGAAAGGCAAGGGGTGGAGTGGGAGGCTGGTGATCGACACGGATAGAAACACTGTCTCCTCCTCCCTCTGAATGCGAAATAGCCAATGGGGTGGCGCGGCCCGGCCAGCCCGGCGGCCAGTGCCATATAGTATGCAGCAACCGGAGGAGTCACGTTGGGGGAACAGCAGAAAGCAGCTATCCGTTTACACTACTTTGCTCTAGCAGCTATCTTAATGGTGACTGCGTGGCCTGGGGGAAACCTGATCGGCCAGATCCAGCCGAAACCGGGAGGGAGGGAGTGGGCTTTCCGGAGGGGGGAGGGGGGCGGGAGACGAAGAAGGAGGAGTAAGAGAGGGGGAAAGAAAGAGGAAAAGAGTGCGAGGGAGTGAGGGAGGGAGGAAAATAAACAACAAAAAAATGTCCTCTTCCTCCCCCACCGGGCAGATTGCAAGTGCGGCGGACATCAAGCAGGAGAATGGGATGGAAAGCGCCTCGGAAGGACAGGAGGCGCACCGAGAAGTGGCGGGGGGCGCGGCAGCTGGGCTGAGCCCCCCGGCTCCAGCCCCTTTCCCTCTGGAGCCGGGGGACGCCGCGGCTGCCTCCAGGGTAAGCCGGGAGGAAGGGACAGCGGCGGCCGGAGCGGCAGATCAGGTACAACTCCACTCGGAACTTCTGGGCAGGCACCAGCACACAGCCGCCGCGCAGCCCCCGCTGGCCTTCTCGCCGGACCATGTCGCCTGCGTGTGCGAGGCGTTGCAGCAGGGGGGCAACCTGGACCGCCTGGCCCGGTTCCTGTGGTCCCTGCCCCAGAGCGACCTGCTACGTGGCAACGAGAGCCTTCTGAAGGCGCGAGCGCTCGTGGCCTTCCACCAGGGCATCTACCCTGAGTTGTACAGCATCCTCGAGAGCCACAGCTTCGAGTCGGCCAACCATCCGCTGCTGCAGCAGCTCTGGTACAAGGCGCGCTACACCGAGGCCGAGCGAGCGCGCGGCCGGCCGCTGGGCGCCGTGGACAAATACCGGCTGCGCAGGAAATTCCCCTTGCCCCGCACCATCTGGGACGGCGAGGAGACGGTGTATTGTTTCAAGGAGAAGTCGCGCAACGCGCTCAAGGAGCTCTACAAGCAGAATCGCTACCCCTCGCCCGCCGAAAAGCGGCACCTAGCCAAGATCACCGGCCTCTCCCTCACCCAGGTCAGCAACTGGTTCAAGAACCGGCGGCAGCGCGACCGGAATCCCTCCGAGACCCAGTCCAAAAGGTGAGCGCCAACTTTCCTCCTCCACCCCCTTCCTCCCCCCCACCCCCACCCCTTCCCAGCTTTCTTTTCCTCCAAAGCGCTCGCAAACATGGCGCTTACCTTCCCCACCAGCCCGGTCCGTCTGCCCACCTCTCCCCGCCCCCCACCTCGCTTCCCTACCGGGAGGGGGGGGGGACGACAGTGGCAACGAGCGGGGGGGGGGGTGATCCTCCCTCCTAACCCTCCCCCTCCTGCCCCCAGAAGTTTCTGGTCGCCCGCCTAGGTCTCAGTCCCCGCCCCCACCTCGGCTGGCCACTGCTGCCCGGCTTCCCACCCCCATCCTGCTGCCTTTGAAGTTGCCACTCTCTCCTTGGTTCTCTTAGTGAGCGTGTGTGCACGCCCGCGAAACTGCTCTCACCGCGGCTTCGGGCCCGCAGGGGCTGCCGGAGCCGGCCAGGGTCTTTGGCTCACTCGGAGCCTGGAGTGCGCACACCCTCCTGGTTACTCAGGATTCGTTTGGGCCCCTGGCTCGCCCTGGAGGTCACCAGGGCCGCTCTGGAAGGAAAAGGAGCGTTAGTGGAGACTAGTGGCCCAGATGGGGTCTGGGGACGTCGAGGCTTTAATATGACAGAGTTAATCATTCACCCTGGCCGACGCGGTTCCCATCGCGCCTGGGGCAGCGTAGGGTGCCCGTGTAGCTCGTCCCTGCGGTGTTTTGAAACCTGATTCTGAACAAGTTCGGATCGGGTTACAGTGCTTCAGAGGTGGCAGGCCTGAAGGGCAGTTTCTTGAGCCCCCTAACACAGCAAGATTCCCTCTTGGTGGGGCAGTTGGGGGGGGATAGGCGACAATCTGACATAAAGGTGGACAGCAGGAAAGAAGTGGGGGAGCTCTCCACCCAGTCCTCCTTCAGCCCCCTCTCCATCTGGTTTGAACTTTATTGTGTTTTCTCCCCGTTCTTTAGTAGAAAATGCATTTCCCCCACACACACCGCTTTTGTGTGTTCTCTCAAGTCAGCCCCGTGGGTGGGGTGTGTTTGCGTATTTGTGTGTTTCTGTGCGTGTGTGTTTTGTTGGGCGGGTAAAGTCAGGATAGTGTCTTTCGCCCTGAGGGTATTGGAGAGAAAAGAATCCAAACGCAGTTCACACGTTCTACTGTGGGAAGGAACCAGGGATCCGGGGAGACAGCCCGCCTGGGCCAGGTGAAGGTGATCACCCTGAGATCACCCTGAGCATTCCAGAACCGGCAACAGCCCGCTCTCGCTGCTTTGCTCCTGAGCCCGGGTGGAGCCCGGAGGCCCACAGCTGGCCCCAGGCAGGAGAGAGACGCACCGTGCAGTCCTAGCTCTGGCTCCCAGTAACCATAAACAAAACATGCCCGGTGACCTGTGAGCATCCTTCCTCGGTCTTGAGAGAGGGGGTGACCCATGGAAGGAGCACTGGTTAGGCGACGCTGTCTACCCTGAAGTGCTCTTCAGTCACACCAACGGAAATCTGCTAGGCCAGGGCACTGGGTACCAAGCCCCTGCCACATGCAGGCCAGCTGTCCTGTAACTTTTGCTATGGAGCCGGCCCAGTTCCCAGGACATGGTCACACACACACACACACACACACACACACACACACATCCTGAACCATGCTCTGCTGACTTTACCCTCTTCCCCATTAACTCCACACCCTCAACCCCCAGCCCTATTGCCTGGTATAGGCCCCTCTCCGGATCTACCTCCCACCCGCACCCCTGGTGAGTCACCCTCACCAATGGCGACGGCTGCTCAGCCTCAGCTCATAAATCAAAGTGCTTTCTGCGCTCCTGGCCCCGAAGCCCAAAGCCCGAGTAATCCCCTCCCCTCAGCTTGAAAGGGAACCGATCACACTGGGATGTTGGATCTTCTGCTGGACCAAGTCCCACCAAGCTTCCAAACTGCTTCTGTTCGGCCCCGCCCAGACTCAAACCAAATGAGGAAAACTCCCACCATCCTCCGTGACCTGAACTTGGTATTTCCCTTAAGCCCAGGATTCTGCAATAGAAGGACCGAATAGTCTGGCGAGGCGTCTGAGAGTTAACAAGACCTCTGATTGATGCTCACCTTTTCCCTCCCACCTCACCAGGGCACTGGATGGTGTGTGTTAAATAGGTCCCTATGGCTTCCTTTGGATTCAAAGGCAACTGTGCATGTCTTAGGTTGCAAATGCCTTTCCTACAAGGGCAACCACTTTATTGAATGAGAATATCAGTCTGGTGGAGTAGAAGTTTGGGAGCAGGTGAGAGAATGGTGTCTTATTAACTAGATGGCAAATAAAACTGGACACCTCCTGCTCCTTTGGCAATTCCATCTGCCTTCAAAACGATAGCAATCTGAAGGGGTTTAGAAAGGGGCTGGCCCTCCTAAACAGGGAAAACACATCCTTTAATGAGTTGTTTCTGTGACCTTAAGAGTTGGAGCAGCAATGGATTCTGTAAGAATGAGAACGCAGTAATAAGTTATTTTAGTTGAATTTTGCATTATCCAACCCTCTGGTCTTTCTCTGAATTTATTATAAAAAAAATTGTTCGGATCTGAATTCATCTTCTCGTTGTCTGGTTGGGCAGAATTTGCTCACAACTTCTAGTTTCAGCAGGGCCAGACAGGTCAACAGTTCTGCTTTGCTTAAATACCACCTTGGATGGCTTTGAAGGACATTATTACAAACTATACAGATTGTCATCCCTTTGACCTTCAAAATGTCCTCTCTCCCTGAACAGTGAATCAGATGGCAACCCCAGCACTGAAGACGAATCCAGCAAGGGACACGAGGATTTGTCTCCTCACCCACTTTCGGGTGCATCTGACGCCGTCACCAACCTCAGCCTTTCCAGCCACATGGAGCCCGTATACATGCAACAAATTGGAAATGCTAAGATATCACTAAGCTCCTCTGGAGTTTTGTTGAACGGAAGCTTGGTACCTGCAAGTACTTCACCTGTCTTCCTTAATGGCAACTCTTTTATTCAGGGACACAATGGAGTTATCCTTAATGGGCTGAATGTGGGAAATACACAGACAGTATCACTGAACCCACCAAAAATGTCTTCAAACATTGTGAGCAATGGCGTAGCCATGACAGACATCCTGGGATCCACCTCCCAGGATGTGAAGGAATTCAAAGTCCTCCAGAGTTCTGCTGTGAACTCAGCCGCCACCAGCTCCTACAGCCCTAGCGCCCCCGTGTCATTCCCAGGGCTGATACCCTGCACTGAGGTGAAAAGAGAAGGCGTCCAGACAGTGGCCTCCCAGGATGGGGGCTCTGTGGTGACTTTTACTACACCCGTGCAAATTAACCAGTACGGCATTGTGCAGATCCCCAATTCCGGAGCAAACGGCCAGTTCCTTAATGGGAGCCTTGGATTCTCTCCGCTGCAGCTGCCTCCTGTCTCGGTAGCAGCTTCACAAGGTAAAAGCCTCATTTGGTACCATAATGCACCAGGTCATGTGTTGGTCAGCTGCTGTAAATGACGCATTTAGTGAAAGGTATAGATTGGTGTTCTTTTTCAGATACTTCATTGGTTTACACGGTTACAGAATAGCCTTGATGTGATTCCCAGTGCCTAACTACTATTCAGCTTTCCTGATTTTCTTACATCCTGAGGATGGAGTTTAATTTCCCCAAGCAGAATGGAAAAGTACAGTTTATGGCAGATCTTGCCAACTGTACAATTACAGGAATATGATAAGTCAATCAGTGCTTATGAACTAACCCAGTACTTGACGTTTTAAAATTAAAAATTAATAAAATTGCTAGGAACATGAAATTAGTCAAGCAGTTATTTATTTGACCAGAAAATGTTTTAAAAGAATAAACTGAAAGACAGAATCTGTTCTTGTTTGCCTTGTGTTCTCCCTATAATTAAAACTAAAACCTCAAAAGACCTGAAAGGAATTTAGAAGAATATGTGATTTTCTGTTGCCCTAGATATATGTTCATTTCTCAGCTTTGTGGGTTTATGTTTATGAAAACAACTGTGTCATTGCGTATTTGTGGCTTTACTAACCGAAGTCTGTCAAGAGAAAGGAAGTAAGTCTGAGGCTGGAGCATTCGGTCTTCAGGAACATGAATAAAACCTAGATCACTCATCCTTTTTCTCCATATAGGAACAGGAACAGTTAGACTTGGGCATTGGAAGTTATAGTTTCCACCTCTTAGGAGTGGAAGGTGGTGATCATGTTTACCTTCCTATAAGCAAAGCCGACAGCCCAGATTTTTACCAAAGCTTAACCTTCTGAAGCATGGTCAATTCTTATACAACTCTTGCTACTATAACTGTAGTCTACTTCAACTTATTGGAGGCATTAAAGAAAAATGGCTAGACGTTTCATCCCATATATTTGTCCTTCCTTAAGTAAGCTACCATGGTCCTGTGACAAACTCCTTGGATGTTCATTTCCCTAGATTATATAAAGAGTCAACTCCAGTCACTATCCAACATAGGGACAAAAGACTAATGCCTGGGGAAAGTCAAAGAGCTTGGTTTTACAATAATTTATGACTCTTACCCATTTTCTTTCTTTACAAAAATTTCCAAGCAGTTTGTAGCATTTTAAAGACAGCGAAGTTACACAGGAAATATGAATATATTTGTTGGCAGAGGAGAAATATAATAATGCTTTTCGTTTGTAATCAAGAAAAGTGCTATCATATAAGAGTATTATGAAGTAATAGCTAGCGTTGGGGGGGACTATTGTTTTCTACTTTTTTTTTTTCTTGCTTTTTCAAGACAGGATTTCTCTTGAAATCTGCCTACCTCTGCCTCTAAGTTCTGGGATTTAAAGGCATGCACCATCACCCTTGTAATGCCCATTGGTCAATTGTTTTTAAATGGGATATTTACTAGGAATAAGGATAGCATTGTCAGTTAAAATAGCTAAGATCAAATGACAGGGCATCAACCATTTGACTCTCTGGGAGAACTGGAAGCTTAAGTTTAACCAGATGATTCCAGTAGGCAACATTTCTTTGTAGGAGTGGTATATTACATTTTGCAATAAAGCATTTTGGGAATTTGAACTTTATTTTAAAAGAAGGAGGAGGAGGAGGAGGAGGAGGAGGAGGAGGAGGAGGAGGAGGAGGAGAAGAAGAAGAAGAAGAAAGCAAAGATAGGGAATGGTGGTAAATGCCTATGATCCCAACATTTGGGAGACTGAACTAAAGCTGGAGGATTGGGGGTTCAAGGCCCGTCTGAGCTACATAGTGAGTTTCAAACCAAGCTAGGTTGCATAGTAAGAGTCTGTCTCCAAAAATATACCAGACCAAATCAAACTTACACTAAACTTTCTTTAAAATGTCCAGAAACATGGTCCTAGATAGCCAAGAAAACTATATAGGCAGTTACATGGAAAAGCATATGATATATATATATTCTTTATTCATTTTACAAAAAAGAAAATTTTTTTTGTTCCTCTCAGCATCGTTGTAAAATTATACTTTGTACCTGGGATTTTTAAGTTCAGTTTTTTTTACTGATTTTTAAATTCTTGTTTAATTTGTAACTCAGCTGCAGCTGTTCTTTAAAATCAGGTTTTACTGCCTGGCAGTGGTGGCACACGTCTGCAATCCCAGCCCTTGGGAGACAGAGGCTCAAAAAAAAATTAACTAATTAATTATATAAAAATTCATGATTTAGCCAGGCATGGTGGTACATGTTTCCTTTAAGCCTAGCACTTGGGAGGCAGAGGCAGGCAGATCTCTGTGTCGAGGTCAACCAGGTTTACTTAGTGAGTTCTAGAGCAGCCAGGACCTCATAGAGAGACCCTATCTTAAAACAACAGCAACAAAATCATGTCTTATGTGTGAAACTTGGGGTTCAATTCCCAACACTGAAAAAAAAAAAAAAACAAATCATCCCTTGGAACATACCCGTTTTTCCCTTCATTTATGTATATTCAAGTCTTTTGCATGTCCAGAGTATTATTAGTCTACTGTGTTGAGTAGCTATCAGGGAAATGCTGCATGTGTTGTTATTTATGACTCTGCCAAAAAAGTAATTTCGTACATATGTCTGCTAGCAAACAGTTTCACCGACACCCAAAGCAAAGTGAGTATTGACTGTGGCTTTTCCCCCCCTCACAATTTTGAAGCCTTCACGACTTTTAAAACACGCAAAGCCAAGAGGTTTAAAATTAAAGCAGTCTGTTCATTTGTATGGCCTGAAAAACACATTTCTGTTAGAGAACAGCCCAAAGATACACAGAAGCGTTTTGTCCTTAACAGTCTTTCTGTGATGAATACTTACAAACTAGTAGCTGACATTTTTTAAAGGAGTTCAAATACAGTGTTTTCTCTCTCTTTTTCTCCTGTAAAGACACTCCTTTGCTTACATAAGGCGCTTAAAAATGTTGGGAGCCATATACATGGCCCTATGGCACTGGGTAGCATAGGTAGAACTGCGATCCCAGTTACTCTGTAAATTGAGAAGGTCAATGTTAAGTGAATTACTTAACTTTATATTGGCTTGTTTTCTGCACTTGTAAAGAGGGCGATTAACCACCAATTCAAGAGCCGGATAGATAAGTAACCCATCCTAATTCTTCCCCAGAACTCTCCCCAAATTCACTTTTCCTTTGCTGGTAATATCTGGGGACCTGGGTCATCTCATTGTCATCGTTTCACTTTGTAAAGACTCAAAGGAGGTCTTGTTTGAGGGAGACATGGGGTCTGTACTGTCCTGAGTTTCTCATTTGATCATCTGTTTTGTGTTTCTAGTCTCTAAAGACCGTTATAGTTTGGACCACAAAAGACACACACCTTTTAAAGAGGCGTTAATTCTACTCCTTTGTGTCCTTCTGTGTTTAAGAATGATGCTGCCATTAATTCTTCCCATCACTACAACACTGAAAATTGAGGGCAAGCACAACAGGGTGGGGGGACCTTGAGGGTTCTGTTGCCTGGAGACTGCTCTGTCAGGGGTTTTCGGTGGTTTGGTGAAACTCTGCGACTTGTCTGTGCAGGTTGACATGGTGAACGTGTAAGTCCCAGAGAAACTAACTCTATGTGGTATTTTCATATTCTCATTTACATCTTATGTCAGTAACTGAGCAGGCCTAACAAAAATATTTCATTGTGTATCTGTATTCTCTTGTTCTAACTGGCAGTACCAACCAATTCAGAGGTGGTAAAGAGCCAGATCTTAGATAAGAATTCTTCTTCTTCTTCTTCTTCTTCTTCTTCTTCTTCTTCTTCTTCTTCTTCTTCCTCTTCCTCTTCCTCTTCCTCTTCCTCTTCTTCCTCCTCCTCCTCCTCCTCCTTCTTCTTCATTTTTTTTTCCTTTAAACTCAAGCTGGGCTCAAATTTAGTCTTCCTGCCCCAGCTCCCACATGCTTGCTTGTTTTGATTGGTTGGCTTTAATTTTCAATTTGTTTTAATTTTTGGTGATGCCGAGCACTGAACCCAAGGCCTGCACTGTGTTGAACCCTATCTCCAGGCCCTACATTTACTCTTTCTTTCATTTGGTTCTTACAGTTAATTGCGTGGTTGAATTAACACATACAGACAATCTGGCAGAATTTTTTGCTCAGGGTATAGAAGTCTCTGAGTTTAATCTCCAGCACTGCGAAAGAAAAAGAGAGAGAGAGAGAGAGAGAGAGAGAGAGAGAGAGAGAGAGAGAGAGAAAGCTAGCCTGAGTTCTGAGCCTGGGACTCTGCAGCTAACAGTGCCCAAGCTGGACTCAACTATACATTGAAGTATTACCTCTCCATAAGCAACCTTAATAACCTGAGGAAGAATCATGTGTGTTACTGAAATAACTGTTTTTTTTTTCCTTTCTGTATTCATTGCATTAATGCCAATTGGTACTTTTTCCCCTAGGTAACATTTCAGTAAATTCAAGCACTTCAGATGGAAGCACATTTACAAGTGAGTCCACCACCGTCCAGCATGGCAAACTTTTCCTGAGCCCTCTTGCCCCCAGTGCAGTGGTCTACACTGTTCCTAATTCAGGCCAGACTGTAGGAGCTGTGAAACAGGAAGGGTTAGAAAGAGGCCTGGTTTTTTCCCAGCTGATGCCTGTCAATCACAATGCACAAGTAAACGCAAGCCTGTCCTCTGAGGATATCTCTGGGAGTGGCCTCCATCCCCTGGCCTCTTCGCTGGTTAGTGTGTCCCCGGCTCACAGTTTTTCCCTCTCTCCCCCTACACTACTAAATCCCGCTGAGCTAAACCCTGACCTTGCTGAGAGCCGGCCAATGTCTGCACCTGTGGCAAGCAAATCTACTGTGACCTCTGTCAGCAATACTAACTATGCAACCCTTCAGAACTGTTCCCTTATTTCCAGTCAAGACCTATTGTCGGTCCCCATGACTCAGGCTGCCCTGGGGGAAATTGTTCCTGCCCCTGAAGAGCCCGTGAGTCATTCCTCGCCAACAGTCCACCAGGATTTTGTCAGAGAACATCGCTTGGTCCTGCAGTCAGTAGCTAACATAAAAGAGAATTTCTTACAAAATTCTGAGAACAAAACCACAAACAACTTAATGATGTTGGACTCCAAATCCAAGTATGTCCTGGATGGCATGGTTGAGACTGTCTGTGAAGAGCTGGGGACGGACAAGAAGGAGCTGGCCAAGCTCCAAACCGTCCAGCTGGACGAAGATATGCAAGACTTATAAGCCTGATTCACTACGTACATACCCCTTTTCTCCTTCATCAGCAGCGATTTTTTTTTCTCCCTGTGAAGCCCTGAAGATGGGGAACCTTTACTCGTTTAGAGGAATGCACTCTACTTGTGCGAGCAAATATATTTGGATCGGTCTGCATGAAGATCATAGTTAAATTACAGGGGTGGAGCTACAGAAGCCTTTCTGTTCTCGTCATATTGGCTTTGGAATACATGGCGACAAGGCAGTAGGAGAAGCCTATCAAACCATCATAAAGCATTTAGTCAGCCATATAAGTCTAAGGCTGGAATGGAACGTGATAGTCTTCTAACTTTAAAATGTGTACACCTAACTTAGACACTTCAATAAGAGCTACAGGCTGTTAGAAGCAAGGCGGTTGTTTTTTGTTTACTTTTCCTCTATGGGCATTGAGATGGTTAAGAAATAACGGTACTCCGGATTATTATAAGGGTATATTTTTCAAATTAAGTAGCTTATATATGTGTGTATGTATGTGTCCATACACACATTCAGCATTTGGGGGAAAGACTTGGTTTTGTCTCTACATGTTTCCAAGTGTGACTGCTAATAGTTATATGTGGCAGAGAAAGTTCGAAACTCCACTAAACTCTGACACAACTTGGGTATGAATGTAAATATGCCAGTTCTATATGCAGAATTTGAGCAAGTACAATGAATTTTTATTTATACCTTGTATGTCTCTCTTAGTCTTCAGGCGCTATGAACTGAAAAAAAAAAGTTTTCTTACTGTTTAATTTATATTTATTGTTTGAGCAGGAATAGCAGGAACAGCTTTGTTCTCAACCAAGTTTTATTTTTTGTGATTTTTATCCAGAGTCTCTTAAGGTCAATGTTAGCACTGAAACAGGAACTTTTAACCCCAATACTGGAATTTTGGTACTTCTCATCATGCCCTTCTTTCTTTAGAAGCTTTGATTCATTTAAATATGTTTTATATAGACTCCTATGTGCCTTTTTTACCTTGTGGCCTTTTTATTAGCAGTAAGGTACAGAAGTGTCAGCAAAAGTGTTGATGGCTCTTCTGCACCGTCAAACAGGGTTAAGTTTACCGCAGAACCCCATTATATGCAGAGGACTTAGGGTTCACTGGATGTATTGTGTCATGTTTGTCATGCAAATGGATAAACAATTAGCTTTGATGCTTTTCATTAGAATGAAAGTCAAAAAAAAAGGTATGGAAGACTATGAAACATCAATTCTGCAGGTTATGGAAACAACATTTTAAAGGAAACAAAGGATAGATAGTTAAAGTGCATTCAGCACAATTCTGTCTTGTTGAGGCTGCGTTCTCGGTGTTTTGAACCGGTTGGTACACTATGACACGTGACTGCTGCCTGTCCTCTTTCATCACGTCTCCATTACAAGCAAGTTCTTTGGGTTTCCGTAGGATATTCTCTTGTATGCTTTCAACTGTGTTTAAACGTTTTAGCAGGACTCTGACCCCAAGATATATCAATTTAAACGCCTTCATACCTTCATGTCATTAGTACGGAGCATCTCAGATTTAAGAAAATGATCTTCTCAATGGTGAATTTCAGTTGTTTTTTTTTTTTTTGGTTGGTTGGTTTTTGTTTTGTTTGTTTGTTTGTTTCGGTTGGGGGGGGGAGTGGGGTGGGGTTTAGACAGGGTTTCTCTGTGTATCCCTGGCTGTCCTGGAACTTACTTCCTAGACCAGGTTGGCCTTGAACTCACAGAGATCCGCCTGTCTCTGCCTCCCAAGTACTGGGATTAAAAGTGTGTGCCACCACCTCCCAAGGTCTTTAAATTGGCAAGCATAAAGATAGCACCACACCTTGTTGTAGTAATGAGCTCTGGGAAGGCCTGCTTTTTGTCCCGCCCAGTTCCCCCGCACGACTAGCTTTACTCCCGAAATAACAACACACAAACTGTGGGGAAGAGACAGAAATCTTTAATAAATAAATAATAAAAAAAAAACCCACACAAACTGTATTCTTTTAAACACTGCTTGGCCCATTAGCCCTAGCCTCTTCTTGGCTAATTCTCATATCTTGATTAACCCATTTTTAATAATCTGTGTGGCACCACGAAATGGTGTCTTACAGGGAAAGATTCAGCATGTCTGACCTGGCGGCTGGCTCCATCGCATCTGGCCTCACTGCTTTCTTCCTCCCAGCATTCTGTTCTGTCTTCTCTACCCACCTATGTTCTGACCTATCAGGCCGAGCAGTTTCTTTAATAATTAACCAATGAAAGCAACAGATAGACATATGGCCTTCCCACATCACCTTGTTTTCTTCAAGATGGGGAAAGAGTCGCTTGATTTCCTCCGTGCTCCTTATCTGAGCCTGTTAGTAAGGGTCACCAAATGCTTAGCATTTGCTGTTATTACGAAGGGAACTTTCAGCTTAGATGAAGAGCCCTATGAAGAATTCCTTGCCATCATTTTGATAAAAACTTAAGTCCCATTTTTGTGAAATCGGTGAATGTCCCTCAATTCTTGATATACATGATTCTGGCCAGAGGTTATTTGTTTTGGAGTTTGTGTTTAAACAAAGCCGGTTGATTTAGTGTGGTCTTCTACTCTGCCACTACTTTATTGCCACAGTTTGGTTGTCCCCATCCGCCCCTCCCAGTTGTGTGCTGACCCATATTGTTATGATTAGCTACATGGTCTTGCAGTATAGTTTACATAAAAATGGTATTTTCTACTAGATTGCTGCAGATATCAAAAGTTAGTTATTTTAGAATACCTGTCTGGTAAGGGAAGTGGGAAAGTCAAAAAGTTATATGAGGGGTGTGTGTATGTGTGGGTATGTACGTGTGTGTGCATGCAAGTGTGATGGAAAACTTTCATATATCTACAAGACTGTGTCTTTTATTCCGAGTTCTTCCTCTCTTTCTCCCTAAGAAAAAGAAAAGATAGCACAAAACTAAATACTTACCTAGGAAATGTACTCGTATTCCAACACATTGAACTTCTAACCCTACAGTTACTCCAGGTAGCTATGCAAGCCACCAGGTAAGAACCAGTGTACAATATAAGAACTTACTGTTCTTTTCTACTCTTTCAGTAAACTAAGGGCCAGTTGGTATGTAGCCTGTGTATATGTGAATGGGATAAGATAAATCCCATACTCTCCTTTCACAGAAATGCAACTGACTTTGTTTTGTTTTGTTTTGTTTTTCTTCTTCTTCTTCTTCAAGGGCCAGACTCAGGAGCCCTTGGGGTTCATGTGGCAGAATATCCTTTTTACATAAACAATGCTTGATGATGCTGCAAATTACCCTCTAAAGATTCAGGGAGAGGAATCAGAATAGGGGTAAATAACTCCCTTTAAATCTCAACCCCTGCTGCTGGCTGTGGGGTTTTTTGGCGTCAGCCTATCTATGCACTCTGTAGCCAGAACTGGCATTCAGCTCTTAGTTACGTCTAGTAGACAGGATGGTCTAGCTTTCAAAAGAGGTGCAGTTTTACTCCTCAAACAAGCAAACTCACCTGTGTTGCACTGCGAAACTATCTCATGTACATTTATAGTAAAGACTGACTTGTATGTGTTTTTGGTGCCTTTCTTGTGTCGTGAAAGGCAAGTAGGTGTTATAGTCATAGATTTTCTTTTTTAAAAAAATCCATAGTTGAATTGCACACTGACCTTAAGTCTCTCTGTATGTACCCTTGTTACCCTGCATGTTGAAGTTGGATTATTGGGCATGTGTAGCAGGCTACCTTGCTACATCTTCATTATGTGTGCATTAGTACATAACCACAAGTCCTCCTCCATTCTTTCAAACGTGTTGACGGATCATCTCATGAAAATAATTCAGGAAATCTGTGGGGGAAAATAATTGCATTTCACAAGCGCTGTTTCAAAGTCTTCCTAAAACTTAGATGATAGAACTGAATGGTTATTTTGTGTCGAATTGATACATTCAATTTAATTCAATATTACCACCATATATTTTATGAATCAAAATTATATAGCATGTGACTCTTGGTTTTCAGGGTTTCTCAAAAAAATGTACCTTTTTTTTGTTGCATGTACTGTACGTATAGAAAGCAACCAGTTGTATACTCAATATGGTTTTACTGTGCCTTACATGAAGAGAAACTCTACACGGAATGTATAACATGGATGAGGAGCAAAGCCTCTACTGCACTGTTAGGTGATGGCACACAGCATGTCCCAGAACATTTCTGTGCTTAGTTGCCCAACCAAAGAGATCTAAAGTCTGTATGTTGTACTGTAATGGGGGGGGGGGGTTATGCCTGGACAATTAAGTGTTTTATTTGTTTTCTGAAATGATGTGAACTTATTTTTCTAAACACTATGCTAAATAAACTTTATATTTATACATACTTTGTGTTGCTACTGTTCTTTCAAACTGTGAGTAGCCCATCTCAGTAGACAAGAAGCCGGAAATCACTTTGATTCATGTCTTCCTAGAAAAGGAAAGAGTGAGAAGACGCTGACCATTTCAGGTGGCAAAAACTTAGAAGGCCAACTGGAGTGATTTTAGCGAGGCAATCTGCGTTGGTCTTTGTATAGAATTACGTAGTTCACCTTAGCTGTACTGCATACTCAAACCTAAATCGTAGCATTTGTCCTTAGAGGCAGGCAATATGCCTTACTCGTTTCTCTCTCCCAAGAGTTGAACTTGGAATACAGCACACAGTAGGTACTCTACAGGATTACATGGAAAGAGTCAAAGATCTCTTACTCTCTGATTAAAATTTAAACTGTGGTGCTCACCCCTAGGGCACTGTTGTTAGCCACATTGTGATTAGACCCCCAGTTTGACAAATAGGCTTGGCCAGACCCGCATTTCTGTCGAGTAGAGAAGATTGAGCATTAACCTAATTTAGTCCTAATTTTATAATTGCAGAAGTTCTGAATTTGGTTCTTCTACACCAGCACAGGAGATGTTTAAAAACCAGATTGGGGACTAATTGTAGAATTCTTTCACAAATCTAGTTAAAGCCATCAAATCAGTGTCGGGTGGAATGTCTAGACACATTCATAATGTCCAGCTCTTTGGCAGTGCCCGATGTAGTAGTTAAACCAGTTAAACACGAAGTGAAGTGATTACATTTCATAACTTTTTAACCAAATGAGTTTTGTAAGACATTTGAAAGGTCGTTACCCTGTTTCAACTATGATTGTGGCTCCTCAGAAAATAGCAAATCTCATAAAATTCAACAGAAATTCAAAGTCTTTGGCTACCTGGTTTTCCTTCCTGCTTTCCCAGGGTCCCCTAAGAAATCATCTATTTGGCAATCTGCCCTTGCACATCTCCTCCCAGGACACCTTGGCAGCATATGAACAAGACACGTTTGCACACATAAAGGTTAATACCATGAGAGAAACTGAGAGTGATGGAGTTGCAAGTGGGGAGTGGCTGGGTGGGAGACAGGTTGGACAAGAAAGGTCTGAACCATTTCTGCAGTGATGCGTAAATGATATGATTCAGAACAAAAACATGAGTGCCCCGATGCAAGGGTTAGACAGCAGGTTTAAAGTCTCTGAGAGAGAAGCAGGTCTCAATTGCAAGGTTAACTTTATGCATCTTATGGCGAATCGCCTCAGAGACGCAGGGGCCACATCAAAGGTAGAGCCTTTGGATTTGAGTCTGAGAAGACATTGGTGGCTTTTAAAATGTCAGTGTGGCTACTCTGGAAAATGAACTTAAGGAGGGCAAAAGGCAGGAACTGGGAAACTAATTGCCTGGTTGTTCTGAGCTATCTGACAGGAAATAGTCAGGAGCCCCTGGAACAGCAGGGAGGGCCATTTGCCCACAAAGGTCTCCAGAATGGTGTGTCCTCCAGGTTCTCTGCTGAGGCAAGCCAAAGCCACTCTGTCTCCAGAAAGGAAGGCTGGTGGGTTCAGATTCCTATGGCCATCTCCAGGGTGTCCTCATCCCCTGTGAACAATGAAACCTTCTCCCAAAGCCTTGGGGTTGTGTTTCAGCGTGTGAGATAGGCCCAAGCCTTTACAAGCTGGAAAGTGCTCTGCTGAGTCTTCCAGTCTGAGCCTGCCTTTTTATGGCCCTTCATGTTAATTTCTTCTCCCTTGCTAGGATTTCCCCCTGTTGTTTCCAGGGTTATCGGTTCCCTACTGCAGTTGAGTCTACCTGGCCTACCCAGTATCTGCTTCTCACTTGATGGAACATTCAGAACCAGAGACACAACCCAACTAAACGCCTGGACAATGCTGTTATCTAAGAATTATCGCTTAAACTGGGCACATACATTGCCCAAAGTTCACAGGAAAGTGTTTCTCAGAAGCGCCAGATTCCTTCCACAGGCCATCTCAGGAATCTCTGAATGGCACCGGCTCCCTCCTGGGACGCATCGCCTCACCCCTCCCTCCTATGTAAAATGACAAAGGACCTTTTCTGAGATCAAACGGAGATTTGTGTTTTCCTTTCTTTTCTGTTTTCCTTTTTCTTTTCAGAGATTGAGAACATTCTAAAATTAATCTATGTCTGCATTTCCATCAACTTTTAAAGCCATTTTACTGATATTGATTAGGAATCATGTCGTTAAAATATGATACCTATCCAACCCCCACCCCCA